CTATTGTGTCCCATTATTAGTAGTATGAATTAGTAGCACGATTTTACCCAGCGCAGCGGGTACCAGCAGCTAGTAGTTTAATATTTACGAAAAAAAAGAAGAAAACTGCCTAAAATTCAAGTCGTATATTCGGATTGAAAATTTATGCAAATAAAGAACCATAACTCATTAAAGACGGCACTTGCAGGGTGCGAAATTAACGCAAGTCCGGAGTCAAATACTCCCTGATTTTCTGTTGAACTCCCTGATTTGACACATGCAGGAGTCCGTGGGACTCCCTGAAAATTCTGCTATATGAACCACCTTCGTTCCAGAGCATGACCTCGCGGAATTGCCGTATTTTTTTCAGCAAATGTCCAAAGACAATTTGGCAGACGTGCAACCACATGAATCTTCAAAATAAGCACACGCGTCATTGGTGAAAAGGCTGGTTGTACCATGTGTCTGACGTCACCAGTGACATCAGCCACGGCTCACTACACATGTACGCGGGCAATCAAAACGATGTGAAAGCTCACATGCATTGTTATATTGAGAAATAAGTATAAGTATGTACAGAGGTGGCACCTAGTGTTAACCATTGAATACGAATGAAAATGAGAAATCGATAGAATTTCTCATAAAAGCTAGACTGTATCCTTAAAATTATAGTTTGACGTTCAGGCTTAAAAACAATATTTTTGATGTCCTAGCTATCAATCTGCTTTACTTTAGGCTGCTGCAATGAGGTTCAATGCAAAGGAGCTAGCTGCACTAGCCGTGCAACCGTCACAGAAGTTTGACAAGGAAGGGGTTCTTCTCTTTAAAGAGAAGCATGATGGCTTCTTTAAGCGTAGTGAAGGTAAGAGCAGAATTGGAGAATACCCGCTGTCACGTACTGAGGTAGTCTTTGTGCTGAGATTATTGTTGAAATCTGGCAGTTTGGCAATCCCAGCATCTAGCGTGCCACTTTACTGAGGTTGGCTACTGTAGACATATAACTTAAGATAACTATGCATTACTTGATGATGTTTCATCCATGTGCACTGATGAAGTGTGTCACTATTTTTCAGCGTTTGTCGAGCGCTGGTGTCGACTGAGAGGAAACCTTCTCTTTCTATTCCGATCCAAAGACCAGGTACTAATTAGAGTCGTAATTAATATGTAATTATATACTGGTGCACTGCTGAATCACAATACTATACAGCATAATTTGATATGCAATACAAAACCAGTAAAAAGTTACAAAGATATAAGAATATGGAACTAATATGGAACGACATACACAGTATATATGTTTCCAGTTATTGCTCAGAGATCTGCCCTTAGAAGTTGCAGATTTCATGTTGTATTTGCACGTGCATGGACATGAGCAGTTTCGTGATGGAAATGTGCAAATCTAGAACAATAATGGGAATGATTATGGACAATTTGGTGTCAGTTTTATATTAGTTAACTATATTTTTATGGATGCTTATTAAAAATCTTGAAAATTTGACATTGTGCCAATACAGCAATAATTGTATCATTGTTTCACGTAGTTAAATGCAGGTAATATTAATTTGTCAATAGTACCAGTCCTTTGTAAACATTCTAGGTATACATTTCCTTGGAAACTAGAAAAGTAAGCGAATTTGTACATCAATCTTGCAGGGCATAGTAATAAACGGCAGTGTATGGTACGCCTGCCATAATGTTGCTGTTGTTCCTTTACAGTGCTCAGAACCATATGGCATACTACTTCTGGAGCGATGTACTGTGGAACTGGATCTAAAGGAGGAGCTACCCTTCTCATTTATTATTAGTAAGTACAAACAATCATACTTCTGCACTGCAGTCTCAATTGGTGTATGTCTTGACATGTGAGCTTTTACTGGGCATGTTACATTTTAAATAATTAGGGCATAGTAGTATTTGAATAGTCTGACATCAACATGGTCCTCATGTGTACACACTCATTCACTTGACTCCATTGTTTGTGGCCTTTTAAAGCATCTATTTACCGTCTTGGCACATGGTGAACGGGTATTTTCAGAGGGTTACACATAATTCTAAACAACAACCTCGTGAGACTTCTTGGTTCTGATAGAGTTATTTCTAAGAATTGGTTCTCGCAGTCAAATGACTTGCCTCTCATTTGAGACAGCCTTGTGGCAACGTCCAGCGTCCCCGAAGAAAAAGCACCTAAAATAAACACATAAATAGCCTAATTTCTGACTTGCTAAGTCTAAGGCTGACTTGAAAAAAATGCAGGTTCTTATACGCAGGTTTTTACTGTATTTTGCGGCTTCAGTATTCGAGGAGGACTCACGCGTGCATCAGCTGGCTGCGCAGTCGGAGGCGGAGCGTGACTCGTGGATGGAGGCGTTGCAGCTGGCCAGCTACGAGTGCATGAGGTGCCAGCTGGTGAGCCTGCAAGAGCAGGTACAGGCACGCCTGAGCCGGCTGGAGGCGAGCAGCAGCGGGCAGCCTTCCTCCTCGCTCGCCTCGCCACAAGAAGGTGAGACGGAGAGCCGGGGGGTTAGGTTTCGTAACCCGCGTTTACACGTAGCTCAAACCCGGTTTCGTACATACAGAGGACAAATTTTAATCGTGTGAACGACCACGTATAGGTATAATCAGTTCGAAACGCGTATAGCTATACTGACACAAAAGGTGCGCGTATAGCGGACGTGTGAACAATCGGCTGTAGCTATACACGTATAACAGGGAGGTGCAACATCTGCAGATTATGAAATAAAAGCTTATTGTGCAACTTGTAGTGTATAACTCAAGGCCCCGCCATTCACGTTTCATACGGAATACGTACGATAAGCGTTCGAAACTGGGTTTTGAGGTACATGTGAACGCAATATTACAATTGTTAACACTTTTGGGGATGTCAGGTAAAGTGTGGTGGGCCCAGGAGTGCCCTCTGCATACCACTGAATGTGTAAAATCCAGGGCAAACACACGGTAACCCTGTAGAATGTATCTGTGTACTGGCCTTAAAAACATTGTGAGATGATGCTTATAATTGTGTGATGGTCTTACAGGCTTTAAAGTACTTATATGAGCAGAATGTCTATATAACATGCAAGTATATACAGACAGGGTGTCAGTAGTGGGCAATTCTTGTTAAAGCCATCATAGCTTATATCACTCACCCTTAAATATTTTCTTTTTTTATTAAAAGATATGGCTTATACAACTATAACTTAAGATAATTTCTTTCCAATAAGTTTCAAGTCAAGTCATTACAACCGAGAACCGAGAACAACCGAGAAATTGTTTAGGGACGGCTTTGGCTTTCACTGCTGCTGCCATTGTTGAAATCTTACTCTTACGCTGAGGCACTAGAGTAATTGGCATCGTTTGAACTTGTGAAGATGCCCATTATTAAAAACTAGGTCAATCGCTAACCCGATAGCTCAGTGGCATCAAGTGATAAGATAATCGAAAACACGGGTTAGTGGCAGTGGATCGTTGTCGGGTAGCGATGGTTCACGCCTCACGGGGTAGCAGTGCAGACCTTGCCAGTAGCAGTGCAGACCTTGCCAGTAGCAGTGCAGACCTTGCCAGTAGCAGTGCAGTTCTTGCCAGTAGCAGTGCAGACCTTGCCAGTAGCAGTGCAGTCTTTGCCAGTAGCAGTGCAGACCTTGCCAGTAGCAGTGCAGTCTTAGCCAGTAGCAGTGCAGACCTTGCCAGTAGCAGTGCAGACCTTGCCAGTAGCAGTGCAGACCTTGCCAGTAGCAGTGCAGACCTTGCCAGTAGCAGTGCAGTCTTTGCCAGTAGCAGTGCAGACCTTGCCAGTAGCAGTGCAGACCTTGCCAGTAGCAGTGCCCAGACCTTAGGCAGCTAGCAGGCAGACCTTGCAGTAGCAGTTGCAGACCTTGCCAGTGCATGTTGCAGTCTTGGCCAGTAGCAGTGCAGACCTGGCCATAGCCAGTGCAGACCTTGCCAGTAGCCATGTGCAGGTCTTGCCTAGTAGCAGTGCAGACCTTTTCCAGTAGGCAGTTGCAGTTCTTGCCAGTAGTTAGTGCAGACCTTGCCAGTAGCATGCAGACCTCTGTCAGTAAGCAGGTGCAAGACGCTGCAGTAGCAGTGCAGACCGTGCCAAGTAGCAGTGCAGACCTTGCCCATGTAGCAGTGCATACCTTGCCTCAGTTAAGCAGTTGCAGTTCTTGCGTAGTTAGTGCAGACCTTGCCAGTAGCAGGGGCAGACTTTGCCAGTCACACTCGTTTTACCGGCGGCGTCCGTGGTTTGTTGCAGCCATTGCGGAGCCGCTGTTTGAGATGTGCCTGTCCTGCGACAACTGATGTGTGCGAGCGATGGCCGACGCCAAACTCGCTCGTCAAGGTCAGCATGATGACGCCGCCCGAGCTATACTGGCGCCCCCACGGCCAGACGGAGGTCATCGACGGCAGCAGCAACCCGTTCTTCCTGACGACGCTCGCGTTCGACTCGGCGTCGCGCGTCGCCATGACGACGCGCGTGCGCCTGCGCATCTACGACGTGCGCGAGCGCATGACCGACGTCATGACGCTGCTCGGTGGCGCCACCTTCACCATCGCGCAGTATCGCCAACATGGAGAGCAAAGCCGGCTGCGCGTTCGCGCTCGCGTCGCTCGACGAAGCCCGCGTCGGATTCGTCACCGTGCAGGCGTGGCAGCTAGAGAGTCCCGCCCCCGTCGCCGCCGGCAATGCTGACGCGCGTGACGCCGCCGAGCAACTGGCCTTCGTCGGCGACGCCTCGTCAGACGACGTCTAACGGCGACGTCGGATTGGGCGCCACCGCGTCGCCGCCCGTAGGCTTCGCGGCGCGCGGATGGGGCCGCGGGCGGCAGCGGCGTGCGCCCTCACGGACGCGCTGCACGCGGACGTGATCTCGCGCACGTTCCGCTTCCCGTCGGGCCTCGGCGCCGAGATCAGCGTGCGCGAGTACATGGCCGAGAGCCGGCTCTGCTTCCCCGTCACCTGCCGGCTGCTGCAGGTATGCTCTTTTGCGTGGCGCACGTTCGCTTGTTCGTCACGTGCGGCCCGTTCGCTTCTTTGCCGCCCGCGTTTGCCCGTTTGGCACGCACGTTCGCTTCTTTGCCGCTCGCGTTTGCCCGTTTGGCGCGCACGTTCGCTTCTTTGCCACACGCGTTTGCTTGTTTGTCGCGCGCGCATTTGTTTGTTTGCTGCGCGGGCGTTCGCTTCTTTGCCGTCCGTGCCGTCAAACCTTGCCCTAAGTCGATGACTCTCGTGGTAAGGTTGGACACTGGCTAGTTACCTGGATGGTCACCTGAGTTGTCTTAAAAGGGGTCTATATCTCCATTACTACTGCGGGAAAACATCTGTGTAATCTTGATCTAACCCTTAACTCAACCTAAAGTGCCCCAATGAGTTCCCAGTTTTTGTAGCCAGAGAGGTAGAGACATTTCCAGCATGAGTAGGCAGGCTGTGCATAGATGACTGGTCCATGGCAATTATGGTTATAAAACTATGAGAGAGTTATTTATATGTATGCATTTTATTTGTATATATATATATATGTTCCTGTTGTAGCAAGTCGTTGGAGGTTTTACAGAATGTTGGTTCGTGATATCGGTAGATGCGTACTACCAGATGAGGTTACATTTTTTTGCGCGCATACAAATTTCCTGCGTCTGCTTTCTTTCATTTCGTACTCAGAGCTGATGCACAGGACAGCCAATGTCACTTGCATTCTGACGTTGTTGCAGGTGAGACTGGCAGAGGAGGAAGAAGCCATGAGGAGGCTGGAGAGTCTAGGAGAGATGGCGGCAGAGTGGGAGGTGCTGCGCGAGGAGAGACTAGACCATCACAAGCTGCTCACAAACACCTACTCACAAGCACTGGCCTACATGATTAAGCATGAAGGTTCAACGTAGTTATATACTTATATAAGATACTACTACTAATGTTAACTACTAACAGTTATATACTTATATATATTATCTCACTTACATAGTACATGGTTACATGGAGATTATATCCTGATCAAATACAGTGTAAGGTACGGTTGCTTGCCTAGTGATCCTTTATTTAGTGACATTTATATTGCTGGCTTTTATGTTTAAATTAAATTGCCGATATCTGTGTATGCTACGTAATGTTGTCTTATAGAGTAAAATTGCATGTTTTCAGGTCCTCATTTCAAACGTAGCATACAGAAGGGAGAGAGGAGTTTGGAGTTTGTGCCAACGAACATGCACATGCAGCGCATGACCATTCGCAATAACACACTCAGTAAAGGTGAGATCTCTTGCAGGCTACACTGAGCGGATGAACGTCAACTCGCAATCTGCATCACAATAACAATTCGCTGATCTTGCACGTTACGTATAAATCACTGCGAGCACGACTAGCACATCTTTTATTCGGATCAGCTCTCGTTGTAGCGTGCAGTGCCAGCATCTAGTGTATTGCGTGTCGAGTCTTTTTTCGACTATTGAGTTGATGTCATTTGTGTGTATACGTGTGTTGTTGGCAGTGGGTTGCTATGACATCTTAACGGTCGGAGCGTTTACGGCGTACAGCCAGCGGTACAAGCATGGCGGCCTTCAGAGAATCATAAAGCATTTCAAGGATGCCTGCATCAAGTAAGCCTGTTGGGTTAGGTGTTGCTTCTGTGACTTTTGCCATGGTTTAACCTTAATCTACACAGGGTAATAACTATCTATTTTAAATGGTAGACAATGGCACGAGAGAGAAAGATAGGAAGAGAGAGGGAGAGAGAGAGAGAGAGAGAGAGAAGAAGAAGGAGAGAGGGAGAGAGAGAGAGAAAGAAGAAGAAGGAGATAGGGAGAGAGAGAAAGAGGAAGAAGGAGATAGAGAGAGAGAAAGAGGAAGAAGGAGATAATGATATGTTTGGATCGGTTACAGACGTTAATTACCTGCCAATGTTGCTCGTTTTGCTAACAGGACCTCAGACAATCTCAGCTACAACTTATCGTTGTCGAAAGTGAAGAAAGCGAAGGAAATCCTCCAGAATGTCGTTGTCATGGAGACAGCAGTCATGGAGGCCATCGATGCCATCATGGCCGCCGTACACAGCCTTTCTCTAGACCAGCTCATCGACTGTGCAGAGACCCTGAATCAGACGGTCAGTACAGCTTGGGTTTGGGTGAGGCAGTGGAGGAATAGTAACCTGCCTAGTGCTGATGTTGTCGACAGGTTTAGAGTGCCCTTTTTCAAATACATGACAAGAATGTCATTCGTTGCTGTCTGTTAAGGTGTAGCCATACTGATATGTCCAGTGCATTAAAAATAATTCCTAGATAGACTTCTACTACTTGTGTAATAATAGGACTATACTAGGTGGAATTCTCACTTGGCGTGTTACACTCCACTGGGAATACTTACTCCCGAGTTTGCATATAACAAAGAAACTATTGTCTGGTTGCCTGGTGCAGCATAGTGTTATGGGCTTTTTTTCTTGGCCGTGGCTATGCGTCCGGTTACCGGGCGCGCAGGTCCCAGGCTAGGCGTCCGGTCATATATTTCTTATGTGAACCCAACTATATTTTTTCAGTAAAAAACAATAAACAATAAATATTTTTACCATAATATTGCTTACCTTTAGGTATTTTATCAAAAAAATGTGTTTTTGTAACTTTTGAAGCAATAGTAAATCCAGTAAAATCAACGATTTGTGGGAACGAAAGGGGACGTGGCCTAATCGTGACGATCAGTTTATCAAGCCTATCAGCTTTGTAATGGATGACCGGACGCGTAGCCACTGCGTTTTTAGCTCGCCTTGAGATCGTCAAGATGAGCTATTGCCATGGGGTGTCGTCCGTTGTACGTCCGTCCGTCCGTCCGTCCGTCCGTCCGTCCGTCCGTCAACATTTGGCTACGGTCAACGATAACTCAAGAACCGTTTGACCCACATGTTTCAAATTGCATATAGTTGTTACTTCTATGGGAGAGGTTTGAACGTCCTATTTGGGAGCATGCCAGTCGATCTACTTTTGAGCCATGCCCACATTTTGGCAAAAATGAAAATGGCCATCTCGATTCATTCAATTTTGTTAAATTTTGGTATATGAATGTGTAAGGCTAGCCCCAAAACAGTTGTTACTACTACTCTACAATCATACCTATATACGTGTAATATTGTGTTTTAGATTCTTCGTTACAGTAATTTGACTGGAATATTTTATTGTTTATATTTGCGCGATATTCGAAAACCAAAATGGCGATCATTTAGGCGTAGCGCCATCTCTCGTCAAGATTTCAGACTTTCAGATCTGAAACTTTTTTTTTAGCATCAAAACGTATGCATATATCATTATCATGAGTGTATAATTGGAGATATGCTATATAATGCGATGGGAGTTCTCCCATATATACTCTTGCTTTATATATCCCCACCTCCCTTTTCTATCACACCCAAGGTAAGCTACAGTGTCATTGACACTTTTATTTCTTTGGTGCAGACGAGAGAGTTGTACGTGCTCTGCAGCTTCCCGATCCTCGACGAAGCCAATCAGGTGCTGCTGAGTGCGCAGCCGCCCACCGAGGGGGCGCCACCAAGCGTCGCTGCGGTGTCGGCGCGCGTGCGCACGCTCAGCGGCGGCAGCGAAGACGCGCTGACGCCGCGCCGCATCCGCGACTGCATCCGCCGCATCTCCGAGTCATCGGCGTCGGCGGCGGGCCCGCCGCCAGTGGCTCCCCCTGCTGGGGAGGGCGCGCAGAGCCTGCCGACGTCAGTTTCCTGCTTGGTGGCACCACTCGATCGCCTTGACGGCGGCGGCGACACAGACGCTGTGTCGAACCCGAGCGCGGCCTCCGCAGGGGGCGCCACCTCTGATACGGATGAGTCGTCGTCGAAGTTCAGTGGCGAAGGCGGGCGGCCAGAGTGCAGCCCAGCGGTCAGTGTGGGGAACGCAGCGGGCAGCCCACCGGTCAGTGCGGGGGACGCGGCGGGCAGCCCAGCGGTCAGTGTGGGGGATGCAGCGGGCAGCCCAGCGGTCAGTGTGGGGGACGCAGCGGGCAGCCCAGCGGTCAGTGCGGGGGACACGGCAGGCAGTGCGTCAGAAATAATCGCGGGCAAGGATGAAAGCCTCGTGGCGACCGTGATCTCCGGCCCGCCGGAGGTTGGCCGCCTCGCCTCCCCCGACGCGACGGCTTTGTCGTCGGAGACCTCGTCGTCATCGAGGTCGTCGACGGAGGCGCCCTCTACAGCCACGACGCCGTCCACCCCGTCGGTGAGCACGCTGAGTAGTCCGTCGCGGCGCGCGGACGACGACGGCAGCGGGGACGGCCCGGGCGACCGGCTGGTCAGCACTCCAGACACCGCGGGGCCGAACAAGTGCCGCGTGTGGACGGCGGCCGGTCGGTGGTCGGTCGAGGAGAATCAGTCGTGGGTATGTGCGTGTGGGGAGTGTGTTGCAAACATATATATATATATATATATATATATATATATATGTGTGTACAGTACACAATCTATTATCCGAAATTCTGAAAACCGAAAAGCTCCGAAAACCGAAAGGAGTGGAGGTCGTCTGCACACCAAAGCTTGCGTTTGGCTGCATGAGGTTCACTGCAGAATTATTAATGTGTTTGGCATTACTCATACATACTGTACTGTACCGGTACAGCACTTGGCCTCTGGAAAACTTGAGATTTAGTACTGGCTAGTTGCAGGATATGGTATGTATATCTGTACTGTACTACCATTCCGAAATAGGAAAAATTCCGATTTCTGAAACGTGTCTGATCCCAAGGGTTTTGGATAATAGATTGTGCACTGTGTATACATGTATAGATACTGCTGCATTCATCGTTAACCCTTTCGTTTGTCTGAGCGTGGCACGATGTGCTGAACAGTAAGTGAGATTTCTTCTCGTACGATGTCATATGTATTTGGATGCGACTAACGAATGCTAGGAGAACATGCTTGTGATCAGTAAAATTCTATGCATGATGCTTGGCTTATGCCACACATTATTTGAGGAATTATAATATATATAGGGAGTCCATGCAGAGTATACTCCCGCGTGACTACACTCCTTTATCACGCGCTCACGGAATCACCACACTACGTCACAGTTGCGGGTTTCGTGTGACCATGCAGAACCGACATTGCGACAGTAGTAACTGTTATTATTATTTTTTATTGTTATCATAATCATCATTATTATTTTATGCAATTTTATCAATGCAATATTTATCAATTTATCAATGCAATATTTTAATTCAACCGAGCGACATGGAGGAAGTTCACCAATGTTTCACCTGTGTCTCCCAGGAGACTGAAGGGTCTAAGAAGAAAAATAAAATATATTAATTTCGCACGACAGTAGGGGTCCTACCCCCCCCCGGCCGCGGTCATCGGTCATCGGCGCACTTACCCGTTGCTACGTTCCCTCGTCTCTCCGCAGGATCTCAGCCGGCTGAACGTGGAGGCGAACCTAGTCTGCATCGTGTCAAAGGTGGACAGCCTGATGCGTGTGTCGGGCGGCGGCGGTGGCGGGGGCGGCGGCGGCGGTGCTGGTGGCCGCACGGACGAGGCGGTGAGCTGGCGTGAGGAGCTCGAGCCGTACATCGTCAAACTGCACGACGCCGTGAGCGCCACCTGTGGCAAGATCCGTGCGGGCCTGACGACGCTCGTGCTGAAAGAGGTGACGGTCGGGGAGGTTGCGCTCAGATGCTCTTGTGTTGTTGTGTGATCGTGTTTGGCGTTCTGAGTTAAATCTCGTTGTAAGTGACTGGGCGTCACGGTGTATGTGTGTGTGTGGGTGCGTGCGTGCGTGTGTGCGTGCGTGCATGTGTGTGATGATGCACTGTACCTTGTAGCGTGATCATGTTTTGTGATAAATGTGGCGGAACGTGACTGCACACACTATTGTTGTTTGTAAACGTGTGGTGTGCTTGCTGTGGGCATGTGCCCCTCCAGCATTGTGTGTGACCCGTGCCAGTTGGACATGTTTTCACCCAGATTCGTGCATTCTGTTGTGTTCTCTCTGATTGATTCATGATGAAATTAAATTCGAGACTGCAGAATGCAAAGGCATGTGTATATGGAGTTCAATGGATATTCTACGTGTAAATGGTATTGCACGTGTATAATTTTGACTCGACTTGCTATATGGCCTATGGCCGAGTGTTTGACCTGCGTCTCTTTTTTGCAGGAGTCCAGCAGAAACCTGACTACGGCACAGACGATACAGTACCGGCAGGATGTTGTCTTCACTCAAGCCGTAAGTTCAAAGTAAACCACAGAATGCACCCAATTAGCTAATGACTAAATAACTAATGCTAAATTGGCTGAATAACCATAACTTTGGGAATAATGTTATCGGATTCCTTGATCATTATTAGGAGGCATAATTTTAGCGTAAACTGTTAACCTTGGTAACAAATTGTGGATTCATCTCGAAAATGAACTTAGAGACAATCGGGTGGTTCGTGTTAGTAACAAATTTTGATTCATCTTAAAGTTAAACATCAAAACACACTGTTGTTAACGTTAATAACAAATTGTTGATTCGTCTCAAAATTAAACATCAAAACATACCATCATTAACGTTAATAACAAATTGCCGTATCATTTCGATATTAACCTTCAAGAGAAACCATTGTTAGCATCGGCGACAAATTTCGAATTCCTCTCGACGGTGACGTGTGTCTAATTGCTGCATCGTCGTCGTCGTCGACGACCGCTCTGCTGCAGGTGACGTCTCTCGTCGTCGCCTTCATGACGCGCGTCTGGTGCCAGCCGCTCGACGACGCCTACTGCTCGCAGCTCGTCAAGCTCGGTGTGCTCGCGCAGTTCGAGAGCCTGCTGAGTTGCTATGGCGACGAGACGGGGATGCTGGAGGACATGGTCGTCGCCGTGCAGGAATTGAGGAACGTGCGATTCGTGCTGTCGTCGGTCGAGACCGAGCGTTGCGCGTCGTATGACGTCGAACCGGAGATCTCGCGCCACAGGTTGGTGTTCTTCTACGTCGTACGTCTGTTACGCTGTCTCGCGTCTATCTTGTTCGCTCACGCTCTCTTTCTCTCGCTCTCTCGCTGTAATTATCTACTCGTTTCTGCTTTTTTTGGTCTTCTTTATATTGATATAGTGTATTTATTTATATAATCTCTTCTATCTTTTACTTTTTACAATGCTCTCGTGCTTCTCTTGGGCTTGCTTTCTCTCAATGTCTCACAAGGTTCTCTTCTCTCTCAATCGTGTTCTTTTTACCCCTCTCTTCGTGTCTTAGACTTTCTCTTCTCAATATACTACACTTACTCGTAACTCTCGTCGTTCTCAATCTGCACTCTCTCTCTCAATCTCAGTCTCTTTTCTCTTTCGTCCTGCTCTGGTCTCATCTCGCTCTCTCTCTTCTCTCATCTCTCTCTCTTCTGCTCGATCTTCTTTCTCTCTTCATTTCTCTTTTCTTCTCCCTCACCTCCCTCCCTCCCTCCCTCCCTCCCTCCCCTCCCTCCCTCTTCTCTCTCTCTCTCCTCTCTCTCTCTCTCGTCTATCTCTCTCTCTCTCAGCCCATCCCTCCTCCCTCACTCCCTTCCCTCCCTCCCTCCTTCCCTCCTCCACTCTCTCTCCTCTCTCGCGCTCCTCTCGCGCTCTCTCATCTCTCTCTCTCTCTCTCTCTCGTTCATCTCTCGTCTCATCGCATCAGCGCACCAGCATCGCTTCTGTCTCTCTCGCATCTCTCCGAGCGGCTTCTTCTCTCTCTCTCTCTCTCTCTCTCTCTGTCTCTCTCTCTCTTCTCTCCTCTGGTCTCTCTCGTCTCTCTCATCTCTCTCTCTCTCTCTTACTCTCTTCGTGCTCTCTCTCTCTCTCTCTCTCTCTCTCTCTCGCTTCTCTTCTCTCTCTCCTCTCTCTCTCTCTCTCTCTCTCTCTCTCTCTCTCATCAAGCTCTCGCCTCTCTCCGCACCTCTCTTGTTCTCTCTCTCTACTCTCTCTACTCTCTCTCTCTCTCTCTCCATCTCTCTCTCTTCTTCTCTCCTTCCCTCTCTCCCCTCTCTCTCTCTCTCTCTCCTTCTCCTCTCTCTCTCTCTCTCGTCTCTCGCATCTCTCTCTCTCTCTCTCTCTCTCTCTCTCTCTCTCTCTCTCTCTCTCTCTCTCTCTCTCTCTCTCTCTCTCTACTCTCTCTCTCTCTCTCTCTCTCTCTCTCGCTCTCTCCTCTTTCTCTCTCTCTCTTCTCTCTCTCTCTCTCTCTCTTCTCTCTCTCTCTCTCTCTCTCTCTCTCTCTCTC